CTAATAGCAACGGACTGAAACTTAGAATGCCTTGAACCAAAAAAAATATTGAAAGGGTCTCAAAATATGGCGATAATCATGCGCACTTAGAATGCCTCATAAAAGTCCAGCTCGCAGGTTTGAATGTTTTAGCGATGGAGGCATTCTAAGTGAGGCCAAAAAAAAGGCATTCTAAGTGGCACCGTTAAAAATCTTAACAAACATGGCGGCATTCTAAGTTTCAGTCCGTCGCTATACAACTAGGTTTGGCTTGCAGGCATATGCAGTTGTTTTCCATGTGGCCAGTGTCTAAATAAGGGAAAAAAGGAAGAACACTGGCAAAAAAAGGAAGAGCACAAAAGAAAAGAAGGACAAAAAGAAAAGAAAAGGCCATCCATGCATGCAATAATAACCATCCATCCTGATGATGCTTTGTTTCAACATCTTTGTTCATGCAGGGTTTGAACCACATGCTGGCATGTATATAGTATATCAAACTTTCAAGTCAGGTATAGTCAGTTGCAAGGTTCTTGCTAGGTGCATGTTCATGATGCCACGGCATTGCCATTCAGATAGATAGATAGATAGATAGATAGAGAGAGAGATATATAAATAAATATATATATATATATATTGTATAGATTATATCAATTTCATTTGGATCATAGTTGATGAGGCTAACCTTTGGTGTGCTTGACTCTTTGGGATTGGGCCTGGGGTGCCAACCCAGGTGCAGTGCTTGATCAAAGGCCAGTGCCTTGTGTGCAGCTGGGAAGGTGTAAAAAAAAAAACCGCACCAATCTCTACCCAAGGTGGCTTTCTATTTGCATTGCTTCAGCATGTTGATGTGATTTTGGGTTTGATGTGAGTGAGTTTTCTTTTGCTCTAGATGTGAGGTTTAGCAGTGTTTAGGAGTAGCATTGTCAGAAAATATTTTGCTGATGATGTTTTGACCAAGAGTATGAAGTTATAGATAACCCAGCCCACATAAATAAAGCCATTTCAGGACTTGACCAGATCATCAAATACTGTCAGCCAGCTTGGCCACTAAGGCGAGATCAGCTCAGGTGGTTGAGGGCCATTGACCCCAAGCTCTTTTGTGATGGCCAGAGGCAAGATGGGAAAGATGTTGATTTGTTTTGGTGAAGCTGGATACATTTTGTTTGGGCACCATCAAGGATTTAGCCAACCTGACCCAGCAAACAGGGTTTGATAGTATTTGCACTAAATGATGTGAGTACTATTCCTTATCAGCTAATGGTTTTTGATTGGCAAATGCCAAGCAATAAGCCAGGACCATTTGCATTGTGACTATATAGATGGGTGTGGAATTCTTTTGGATTGATAGGGGGGCATGTCTCCTGCAGCAGGAACTTGCTGAAAGATGAAGAGATCTCAATGTGTGTGTGGCTAGCCACCTCCTGGCCACCACAGATGAAGTTGAGAGACTTGAGAGCCAAGGACAGGGGTGACCTGAGCCTGGATGCAGAATTTATAAAGGGTTTCTTTGGTGTTTGCATGTGGGTTTACCCAGAATGGATAGGGCCAAGGATTATACTATTATACTATACCATGTAATTCTTTTAACTGGTGGTGGTTAAAGGGACACTGAATCTTGTACCCATAAGGAGAGCTAAGCTCCTGGAAGCAAGGGACAGATTCACAGAGAAGAGTGGTGGAAAGAGCAGGTTGTCAGAAGTGGCTGATGACTACAAGAATCTCGATATTCAGCTGCATTTTGAAGACCACATTTTTTGATGTACCCCCATGCAATTTCATACATACAAGTAAATATGCATATGGTTTGTAGGGGCAATGTTTAATGGCCTAAGCCATAGCAAATCAGAGCCAGGCAGAAGTGGCAAATAAGTATGGGTGGGAAGATGTCTTTGCAAACAGGCCTATTGGAGTGACTTGGTGGTGCTTTCTAGTACTTGTTGCCACAATTCAAATTAATGTGGTGGTGTTTCCTGCTCTTGGTCCTTCCTGGCACCTGGGTGGCTGGGTGTCCACTGCCATTGCCCAGGCTTTGAACCCACCTCCAGACCAGAATGCGCAGAATGATGTGAGGCCCCAGCACTGGCTGGAAGTCAGCAAGAATGGGGATGTTTGGGTGCTTTGCAAAGATGGGCTCTTAGCTTGGAAAATGTAGGTTTGTTATTCAGTGGTGGTGTTGTGTATTTGTATACTGAGATGGGGTTATTGAAAGATATATCTTGGACCCCTTCACATATGTTTGATGGATGCATGTGGGAACACAATTTAGGTAATAGTGCCTTCTTTGATAAAGTGGCTGAACAATTTGTTAGGGTACCATGAAAAAATGCAGGGGCAGTCTTTGGGACCTGTGTGTTTCTAAAGCAAGTCTGAAAGCTAGAGGCAGGTATGTAACATCTTGCCTATAGACTTGACAGTTTGGCGGGACACCATTGGTATGGGCTAGCAACTCCCTTTAAAATGGAATTGCACATGGTCATAGTGCTTGAAAGTGCTATGGTATGATTTATAGTCACTTTTCTGTATGCACTATATGTGTACATACCTATCAAATGCATGCCTTTCTCTCTGCCTCTCTCTCTCTCTCTTTCTCTCTTTCTGCCCTTTCTTTCTTTCCTTCCTTCTTTCTTTCTGTTTGTTTGGCTGTCTTGCCTACCTGTTTTCCTGTCTCTCTATCTTTCTCTATCCTTCTCTATCTTTCTCTATCCTTCTCTAGCTTTCCCTATATTTCCCTATCTTTCTCTATGTTCCCCTATATTTCCTTATCTTCCCTATCTTTCCTATCTTTCCTATCTATCTATCTATCTATCCATCTATCTATCTGTCTATCTATCTGTCTATCTATCTGTATATCTATCTATCTATCTATCTATCTATCCCTCTACCTCTCTACCTCTCTATCTCTCTATCTGTCTGTCTGTCTGTCTGTCTGTCTGTCTGTCTGTCTGCCTGCCTGCCTGGCTGGCTGTCTGTCTGTCTGTCTGTCTGTCTGTCTGTCTGTCTCTCTCTTTCTCTCTCCCTGTCTGTGTTTGACCCTCACAAAGCCACCTTGATTGTTAAGTGGAAACCAAGGTGCGCCTCCCAAATTTGCATGGCCATCTGGGTGTCCTGCCACCAAGCTTTATGCCAATGGCAAGAGCTGCATAAAGATCCCTGGCCCAGAGCATTACATCATGACCCTCAGTGAGTTCTACAGCTCAGACTCTGGTGGTGAGCTTTGGTTCACAAAGCTGGTGCTTGGGCCTTATAGTTTGCATATGTTGCTGTACTAGCATTCTTACTGGGTTCATGGCATTGGGAATTGGACAGTAAGGGTTGCTATATTTTCCTGTTCACTGAGTGTGCTGGTTCAGTACCCAACCTTTCAGAAACAAGGCTTGGTTGTGTGATTTGACCATGTTAAACCAAGTAAAAAATTTAGCCCCAAGACCAAAACACATGATGGGCCAAGGTAGAAGCTGCAGCTAAAAACCCAGGAGAAACATGGGCCAAGAATGTACAGACAATGGATGTAATCAAGCCCTTTGAGGCAGTTGTCAAAAAGCAAACCAGCATGGAAGACATCCTGAAGAAGGCCCAAGCAGCAGCAGCAGCAGCAGCAGCAGCAGCAGCAGGAACAGTACATGGCCAGAGGCCACCAGCACTGCAACAGCCCCCTGGCCCAGCCACTGCACAGCAATGCCCACAGGCCAGCCAACAACAGGTAATGCTACAGCAGGGCCAGCAGAACATTGTAACATGGGGGCACAAGGGGCATATCCACCACAGCAGCAGCCAGAGCAGCAAAAACAAATATACCACGCAAAGGGTGGGAAAGGCATGGTGGGAGCACTCCAAGGAATGCCACATCAGCAACAGGCAAAGGGTACCCTGCAACAACAAATGATGAATAGTGGCAAGGGGATGGGTTCACAGCATGTGCAGCAACAGCAAGGTGTGCAAGCCTGGCAGCAGCAGCAGCAGCACCAACCATCAGCCACCGGGTACAACAACATGCTGCTACACATGCAGCAGCAGCAGCAGCAGCATCAGCAGCAGCAGCAGCAGCACCAAGGCCCACAAAGCTTTGGCAAGGAGATACCACAGGGACCAGCCCAGCAGGCACAACAAGTGCCACAGCACATGGTGCCACAGGCAATGCAACAGCAGCAGCAAGTACAACCTGGGCAACACATAGGCCAAATGCAGCAGCATGCCCAAAAACTTGGGCAACAGCCAGGGCAACAGCAACAGCATAGCCAGCTTGGGCAGAACATGGGGCAGCAACCAAGCCTACTAACACCACCAGGCCAGCATGGCAAGCAAATGCAGCAAGAGCCACACAACCACCATTCACAAGGTTTGCAGCCTGGCCAGAATGTTGGGCAACAGCCAAGCCAACAGCCAGGCCAACAGCTATGGCAACAGCAGCAGCAAAGTCAGCCTGGTCAAAACATGGGGCAGCAACCATGCCAACAGCCACCACAAGGGCAGCATGGCCACCAGGTGGGCCAAGTGCAAGCTTCTCCAGCACTTGGGCCATCAAACAAGCCCACAAACAGCACAAGGTCTGCAGCCTGGGCAGGTTGTTGGGCAACAGCTGGGACAGCCACCACAAGGTCACTTTGCCCAACAAGCCCAACAACCCCCACAAGCACAAGCCATCAGATAGGAAATGTTGGGCAGAACATGGGGCAGCAACAGAATGGCCAACAGCCACAACAAGGTATGGTGCCTGGGTATAATGCTGGGCAGCAGCCAGGCCAACAGGCAGGACAACAATGGACAACAGCAACAGCAAAGTCAGCCTGGGCACAACATGGGGCAGCAACCATGCCTACAAACACCACAAGGTCAGGCTGGCCACCAGGTTGGCCAAGTGCAAGCTCCTCACCTGCAACCTGGGCAGATTGTTGGGCAACAGCCAAGGCAACAGCACCAGCAAACTCAGCCTATGCAGAACATGGGGCAGCAACCAGCACCACAGGCATCACAAGGCAAGCCTGGCCAACAAGTGCAAGAACCTCAGCATGGCCAACAGGGACAACAAGGTCTGCAGCCTGGGCAGGTTGTTGGGCAACAGCCACGGCAACAGCACCAACAAAGCCAGTGTGGGCAGAGCATGGGGCAGCAGCCAGACCAACACTCACCAGGGCAACAGCAACAGCAAAGTCAGCCCATGCAGGGCATGGTGCAGCAACCAGACCAACAAACACCACAAGCCCAGCTTGGCCTACAGGTGCAGCAAGTGCCACAACCCCAGCATGGCCAACAGCCACCACAAGGTCTGCAGCCTGGGCAAGTTGCTGGGCAACAGCTAGGGCAACAGCAACAGCAAAGCCAGCAACCAGACCAACAAACACCTCAAGGCCAGCTTGGCCTACAGGTGCAGCAAGTGCAAGAACCCCAGCATGGCCAACAGGGACCACAAGGTCCGCTGTCTGGGCAGGTTGTTGGGCAACAGCCATGGCAACAGCAACAGCAAAGTCAGCGTATGCAGGACATGGTGCAGCAACCAGACCAACAAACACCACAAGGCCAGCTTGGCCTACAGGTGCAGCAAGTGCAAGAACCCCAGCATGGCCAACAGGGACCACAAGGTCTGCAGCCTGGGCAGGTTGTTGGGCAACAGCCAGGGCAACAGCAACAGCAAAGTCAGCCTATGCAGAACATGGTGCAGCAACCAGACCAACAAACACCACAAGGCCAGCTTGGCCTACAGGTGCAGCAAGTGCAAGGACCCCAGCATGGCCAACAAGGACCACAAGGCCTGCATGCCTGGGCAGGTTGTTGGGCAACAGCCAGGCCAAGAGGCTTGGCAACAGCAACAGCAAAGTCAGCCTGGGCAGAACATAGGGCAGCAACCAGACTAGCACCCACAACAAGGTATCAGTTTTGGGCAACAGCAAGGGCAACCACAAGGCCAGCCTGGCCAACAGGTGCAAGAAGTGCAAGACCACCAGCATGGTCAACAGCCACCACAAGGTCTGCAGCATGGGCACAATGTTTGGCAACAGCAATGTCAACAGGCAGAGCAACAGCAACAGGAAAGTCAGCCTGGGCAGAACATGGGGCAGCAACCAGATCGGCACTCACTACAAGGCCTGGCTGTTGGGCAACAGCCAGGGGAACAGTCACAGCAAGGTGGGGCTGGGGAGGGCATGGGTGACAAAGGCATGGGTGAGCTGACTGGTCACAACATGGGCAAGAAGCCAGCAGAAAAAGCAGAAGAGGGACACCAGCACATAAACCAAGATGAAGAACAAGTTGGGGACATGGCACCTGAATTGTCAGGTCAACTTGGGGATATGCAGCAGGACCGATGTGATTCCCAACAGCCAGAAGAGACACCCAACCAAGAACTGGAAGATGGCCAGTTCATTGCACCAAAGGAAGAGAGTAACATGGCTGCAATCCACTATGATCATGGCATCCATGATGGGGTTTATATATATCTATAAATACTAAATGGGGTGGGCTCCACAAATAGAAAAGAAGAATTTGGGGATGCCCAAATTTAAACCATTTCCATATAGTTAAGCGTTTTTTTTTTAATGTTGAGTGTGCAGCAGGCCAGTGTTCTCCTTCCAAGGTACTATGTAGCTTCTTCTCCAGCAGTGGGCTAATTGTTTGTTCCTTATGTGGTGCCATGGCTGCATTAATCCCTGTACCCTTGTAAAGTTCAAGGCTGGAAGGATACCCTCACGTTACCATCAATCATTGCAAAAAAAAAACAAGTATCACCATAAAGGATGATTTCTGGGATAAGATAGACTGTGTTTTGTCTGCCACCATGAGATTTGCCAAGGTATGCAGAGACTTCACCCACTACCTCCATATTGGGCACCTGTGGCTGCTGATTCATTGTGCCTGCATATTTTTATTCCACTAGGGTACCCACATTTTTGTTTCCAAAACTGATTCATTTGCCTTATTGAAAAATACAAGTGTATGAACCTGATGGTGGCTCCCAGGTATGGTTTAAGATTAGTATACCAAATCTTCTGATAATGACATAATATGTATCCATCTATGCATATTGATGTACAAAGGTATAGTGGTTGCAATTGTATGGCTAGATGAGTGATGATTGGGGTTTACCAGGGCTATCAAATAAGCACCAAGCCTCATGGCATTTAGAAACTGCACCAGGTCCAAGTTTCTTTCTGCCCCAGGCATGCAGCGGATATATTATGAACATCTGTTTGGCAAATGTATATGGCAACTTGGCTTGGGGCTTTGGTAAGGGGTGAGGCCAAGGGTGTGTCTAAAGAACCTGCCTATTTCAGAGTGCATTTGCAATGGTATTGGCACATGCATTAGATACAATGCATTTACAATTTGCTATCCCTTTCATTTGAAAGGATTTATGCTCAAGCCAAGCCAAGGGGGTAGGCAGGCCTTGTGCTTTCCCATGACCCAGCCACTAGACCTAGATGGGGGTGTGCTGCCCACTATGATTGATGAAAGCCAAGTGGTGGACCTTGCTGCCTCTTGTGAACATGACCAAGACAAGGGGCCCAGTCAGCATAAACCAGAAGGAGAACAAGGTTTGCCAGTACCTGTCCTTGGATGGCCCTCTGCAGAAAAAGCTCAAAGTTGACCCTCAGAACCAGATAGGCAAGCAGTGTAGTAGCCCACAAATACCTACAGAGTTTAGAGTCAAGTGGGTGAAGGCAGCTTCTGATCTCATTCCCTTTGTCATGGATGAGGCCTCAACCATTGTACATTGTGGAAGGACACAAATGAAAGTCTTTACTATTGATGGCCATGCAGAAATCATGTGCTTCAAGGGGTGCCATTGGGGTTGCCCTGGTCATCAAAAGGGGCACTGTGGCTGTCACTGCCATATTTTGCAGTGGCATTACAACACCAGATGACACTGGTGACCAAACCTGCTGTAGGAAGAAACAGTCCCAGCTGCCCAGGTTACAGAGTTGGCTGATTGGGGCCCAGAAGTGCCAACAAAGGGATTGCACCTAAATTCCAGAAGTTTTGCAGAAGCACCCATTATGTTTCACAAGCTGCCCATGACCTGTAGTCTTTTCACCATGGCCTGTATTCTTTTCAGATATGGAATTGCTTGGCCCACACTTCCAGCTGAGGAAGTGGATCCTTCCTATTCCATTTTGGAATTCTGCTTGGCCATTGTGGGCAGTGGCTATGCTGTGGGAGGGCTGGGTTGAGAAGGTGTTTACATTTGGCCTTGTTGCCATCAGTGGGGTAACCCAATGACCCAAACCATGGCCAGTTACCCAAAGTATATGGGTGTTTGTTGTACATGGGAAATACCAGCCCTTGCAACCATCACCATTGCCCAGGAGGATATGTGAGAGGAGTACTTTTGGGCAGCAAAGAGCCAGCCCAGCAAATGAATGCTGACTCAGTCTGGCAACACATACCAGTGTGCACCTTTGGGAAAATTTCTGCAAGGGTAAGGGGTTGCAACATCAAGTTGTGGATACATGAATGATGTGGTATTCATATTCATGGCATATCTGACCAGCAGCTGGGCCAATTGTGGTTTATATTTGTCACATGCATATGTATGCAGCTCAAAGCTATCAAAAGCCTTCTCCATATACCATGGGTGGTGCTTGACAGCTACTGCCCAGAAACTCAGCTTTGCTTGAACTAAGCTTTCAAACTTAGGGAATGTATTCTAATTTCTTTGCATTGCTTGGGGCATAAGGGACATGTTGTCATTACATTACATGGGGTCCTCTGTATGCCAAGGATTTAGCACATGCAATGGCTGATCATGCTGCTCCACCTTGGGATGATGAGTGGCTGATCCCTTCAGATGATGAGGTTGAGCCAGAGCTGGCTTTGTTTCGGTCTGTAGAGAAAAATGCAAGGATACTCAATGCGGCTATGGCACCTTTTGAGAAATGGGATTTGGAGAGGTGGTTGGAGGATGGTATCCCCAATGCATACCAGGCTGACATTACAAAGGTGATCAGAAACTATGGCAATCTTCGTGGGGCAACTTCACCATGCAAAAAGCTGATCCAGTACTTGGTGAGGCAGCATGGCAGTTTACCTGGGGAACAAGCTGAGGTGTCCAGTAAGATGTTTACTTTGATGAAGCACATGCTTCTGAGAGACAGGAAGAACTGGCACCCTCAGGCCAATGACTGTGGCATGAACTTTCAGGAGTGTTTATGCTTAGCAGCTACATTTCTGATGCCAGCAGGATGTACCCACACAAGATGGATTATGGCCAGCCTTTGCTGCTTGGAATATTCTCAGTGCATCAGGTGCTCAACGTATTTGGGTTTGATAGCAGTATTTTGTGGGAAGGTTATTTATTGAGAGAATTTGTTGGTTTGGTCTTGTATTGCACCCAAGCCAACTACAAGCCAGCCTTGCTATTGGTTGTGAGGCATTGCAGAGTTGCAGTGCTCAGACTTGGTGGAATGGATACCTACACTCAATATGACAATGCTGGCAGATTATGTACATGTGGAACTGGCTTATTTGGACAATGGAAGCACTGGCACAGAGTCACTTGACTTAATATATTACCAACACATACCAAAACCCAGCTTATGTAGTGACATGCTCAATCACTTTTCCTCCGCCCAATCATATGATACCCTATTGTGTAACCCTGCCAATCTGCAGCCCCAAGGTATGGTGATCCTAATGCCAGAGCTCAAGTATCTGGGCAAATGTTTGGTTTGGCAACTATTCATACACCATCTAGAGAAACATGTAGCGCATGTCATGATGCCAGATTTAGCTAGCCAAGAAGTGGCTGAATGATTTGTATTATTTGGACAATAGTGGGCACAGAAACAGCAGTATCATACCCCCAAGAGGAACAATACATCATGCCTCCAAACAATATGATAGTACATTTTAATACCCAGATACTATGGATGACCCCCCATACATATACAGTGCTTATGTATCTCCACATCATGTAGGGTTTGCCTGTCTCATAGGTAGCCACTATTTGAAATGGAGAGCCCTTCTTGGAAGCACGCACCTTTGGCAGCAGGAACTGTATGGCCTGGGGTAAGTTAGTAAGATAGCTGGAAGGGTGGGGTTAGTTTGGGGTTGTAGTGTTGGTGCCTGGAATGTCCGTAATGACATATAATGAATCAAGAACAATCAAAGCTGCAGTGTATATTATATGTAGGGACTGTCTTGGGTGTTGGTATGATGAAATGCCAATAAAACTTGAAAGTTCATGCACCAAATCATAATTGATGTAAAACAGTCCAATCTCAATGCAGAACTAACACCAACACATTGCTGGTGGCTGTCCTTAGGCCATTGGTGCAGTGGATACAGCCTATATGCATCCATGCATACATACTGGCATGCATGAAGCTAAATGTATAGAGCATAAAGTCTTACAAGGATACATAGATAAAAAGGAAGAAAGATACATGAATGCATGCATACATGCATATATAGGAATTCCCTCCATACATGCATGCATGCAAATACTTTATACATGAATTTCATGCATAAATGCGTACATGTAAATATACATACATGCACACATGCATACATGAATGCATCCATGCATGCATGCATACAATGCATACTGTACATATATTATTGTAGGTACTATGCATACATAGATTAGATACATACATTGAAGAAGCTGATTCCTACATGCCATGGATACATACATACAGATCTTACACAATATATTTATGAGTAACTGAGCAACCCTGTAAGTAAGCATAGTTTTTAACCATGAAACTAAACTAACTAAAAAACTAAATAAGAAAGAAAGCATGTATTATGTATGCATCTATTTATGTATGCATGTTTGTGTGTGTATGCATGTATTATATAATATCTGTATGCCCTATCTATCCCAGCTATCTATCTATCTATCTATCTATCTGTCTATCTATCTATCTAAACTATCTTATCACTGTGTGTATGTAAGTGTGTATGTATGTGTGTATGTATGTATGTAGAACGGTAGGTAGGCAGGCAGGCATGTATGTATGTATGTATGTATGTATGT